TGACCTGGTGGTGGTCAATCCAGTGGACATCAATTATAGCAATATTATGATATAGACCAGTGTAGTGTGTGGCTGACCTGGTGGTGGTCAATCCAGTGGACATTAATTATAGCAATATTGTGATATAGACCAGTGTAGTGTGTGGCTGACCTGGTGGTGGTCAATCCAGTGGACATTAATTATAGCAATATTGTGATATAGACCAGTGTAATGTGTGGCTGACATGTATTACAGTTGTTCTCACTATTATGGATACACTGCACATAGTTTTCTGTAAACTAAAAGAATCTTCTGTTAGATCGCAGAAGCAGATCAAGATCAAGAAGACGATCAAGGTCAAGGTATAAAAAATTGTCTTTTACATCAAAAGGTTTTGTTTTAGAATTTTTAAATTGAGTGATTGGTTTATTAACTTGTAGAATTGATTGCTTGGGTGGTTTATGATTGCTCAGTTGATGAATTGATTGATTTACAAATTGGTTGAATGATTGATGAATCAGCTGATTGATTAATTGAATGATTGATTCGTTGATTGATCGATTCAATGATCAGCTTGTTTGTTGATTTACTAATAATTTGATTAGTTGGAAGCTTGATTAATGATTCGACCACATTACCAATCCATGTTGTGTTTATTAATCAATGTCAGGTCGGGCTCACGAAGACGGCGTTCAAGGTCTCGATCGTGGTCAAGGTCACGCTATAGGAGATCGCGCTCTAAATCTTGGTACGTGTTTTGTAAAATCTCCAAAAGATTGAAATGATCTGGCATACTATGATGRTGTAACGTTATTCACTTTTCAGGGACAGATCACGTGATAGAGACAAGAGACGAAGGTCACCCTCCCGAGATCGACCAAGAAGATCCCGCAGCAGGTAAGCAATATTACAATCATATTGTACCCCCCCTTATATCATAGTAAATGTGATTTATTCCAGGGAGGCGCCTCGTAGAAGAAGCAAATCGCGTGAACGACGACGCAGATCTCGAGACCGGTCACCAGAGAAGTCACGTGACAGATCCAGGGAAAGGCCCAAAGCCTCGGAGAGATCAAGGGAAAGACAGCGTGACAAGTCACCGGACAAGCGTGACAGGTCAGCAGAGAGATCGCGTGACAAATCGAAGGAAGATTCGCCTGTCGAGAAGGCTCGTGATAAATCACGTGATAGATCGAGAGAGAAGTCAATAGAGAGATCTGGAGATGCAGCTGAAAATCGGCCTAAATCTGATGCCGACGAAAATGAAGAAGAGGAAGAAAAACCTAGAAAATCAAGAGAAAAAGATCGTGGTCGTGACAGAAGTAGAGAAAGAACAAGAGACAGAGACAAAGATCGTGACAGGGATCGAAGAGAGCGTGACAGGGAGCGTGACAGGGAGCGTGACAGAGATCGTGATAGGGAGCGGGAAAGAGAGCGTGACAGAGAGCGTGACAGAGAGCGAGAGAGGGAACGTGATCGCCATCGTGACAAACGAGACCGTGATAGAGACCGAAGTAGAGCCAAGCAAAGCCGCTCACCATCTGAGTCACCAAAGCGTTCAAGGTAAAACTATTGTATTGTAACTATTGTCAATTTTATGAAATAAAAATGGTGATTATACGATTACTGTGGATTCATCGTCTGATTTTCTAGACATCACAAGAAAAAGAAAGAAAAGAAAAGCAAAGAAAAAAGGAGGAGGAGTGACTACGAAGACAGCGATGCTGATAAAGGTGAACCTAACGAGTTTTATTTAATTAAAACAGCAGGTCCTTGATTTCCTGGAAAAGTGATAGAATTTCCAGTCATTTCCAGGGCACTTGGATGTCTTGTTGGTATTTAGAAAATTAGAAAGAAAACAAAGATTTCCCGAAATATATCATCCCAGTTGTAAGTGGCTTGTTCCTCCTATGATGAATAGCTACAAAATGTCACGATCATTATTATCAGATTTTATTTTTTGTCACCATCATCTCTTCCTTCATTATCATCAATCGTCATGTCTTTAACTACTAAAGAATCTACCTAGGATTAACGGTGATCTCCACTCATCGAGTCATATCGTCCAGGTAGTTAATCATATCATTATATTCCAGGAAGCGATGTGGAAACGTACAGGAAGTCAAAACGTGGAGGTCACAGCAGCAATGAAGAGATGAGTGATCACGGATCAGAGAAAGCTTTAAGTGATAACGACGATGGAACACCCAAGAAGAAGAAACGAAGAAGTTACAAGAAGAAGCCAGTCAGTGCTGAGGACTATGACTCAGACAGCAATTAGATAATGAATTCTTATTCTACTCAGTTTTACAAATAAACTACGAGTGTTTTAAAGCTGTTTTTCTCCTTTTTTCCTCGCATTGTTTTCTTCTCAAAAATACACTTGTTTTCGGTAGAACTTGTAGTCGGAATACTCCAGTTTCGAATTCTCTTTTCTGCAAGCTTAGCTTCAATCAAGCATAAATGTTTATTGCCTTCTTTGTACACAGAGTGTTTGTATAACAATAGGATCTCTGTTGAATAAAAGAAAATTATTTGCAGGGACCGGCTGTATGAAGGAAGAATAGCGTACGTTATCCACCATAAAAGGAGGGGGGGTAACTTTAACCGGTTGATAACGTTATCCACATTGTTGCACAACCAGCCATAGATCAAGAACATTTCTGACTATGTAAGGGCGTTACCCCCAAAAATTCTCGCCGATAAAGTGGCTGCCTCATAAATCTATTTGTACTCTTCCTTGTGTTACATCTCTGTAACAGAAACGGAATATGGAGGACAACAAACCATGATAACTAGATCGTGTTTTATTGCATACAGTTCACCGTTGTGAACTAGACTGAGAAATGTACAAAACTGCTTGGCAGAAACGCTTCCCATCCTCACCGCATATATCTCATATTTCGGTCAATGCAATTTGTCCCTGCTTTAGGGTTTTTTGTTTTGTTTTGTTTGTTTGTTTTTTTGATTTTTGATGTCCATGGCTTTTTTGGCCCACAAGGGGGGCTATAGGTATGGTGTTTTAGGTCTGGGGTAGGGTACCGTTTTTGACATTTTGTCTGGGAAAGGGTATGTTTTTTGTCTGGGATAGAGTTACAATTTGTTCATTTTAGTCTGAATTAGAGCTACACTTTGCTTGGTTGTAATCTGGAATAAGCCAAGCTTTCGGTTGACACAGCATTGCAAAATAGTGTAAACTCCATTTAAAAGTTTAGGTTCAGTTTGGGGAAGGAAAAATCGAAATTTTAGGTCTGCGATAGGGTCGTGAGTTTGGGGTCCTTGCGGCCGCCTTGCCCTAGTTGGGGTGGTAGTACCCCCAGGGTTTCTGGAAATGACACTTTCAAACATAAACTACACATACAACAATTTCAGCAGCAATAATTTATTTAACACAAGTTTCAATAAATATAATTTTTACACAACTTTTTTTGTTTACAAATTCTTTTAGACTGAGATGGTAAATTCAATTTTAAACCTTACAGCTAATAGTGTAAGCCAATGCATGCCCTTTTAAAAATATGATACCCTACATGGACTCCTACTTAGAAGAAATATTTAATCTACAAAATAAATAAAAAGCATTGCTAGTGTAGAGGTAAATATATTCTTTGAATAGATTCATGAATATAGTGACTTTGATATAATTAGAGTTGTGCATGCTTTCGAAGAGATAAATAAGTATTTGCAAAATAAATAATTGGTATTTTTGTGTGTTAATTGATAAAATGACTAGTAAAAGTTCCCCATTAGTGAATGTAAAACTATTATTACTAACTATAAAGCATATCAACCCAAATAGTTTTATTATTTATTATAAAAGAGTAGTGTACAGGGTTTTGATGAACAGAACCCATTCACTACATTTCCTATAAACACCCTAATTCTTTTGCCATTTTCGCTTTCATTCTGGCAAGAGAATAATCAACATCAACTTGTTAGAGAAATCTTCCTCTACTCTTCTTGTTTCCATAGGTTGTGACAGCTAATTCAAAAAATCCCAATTGGTTTAATGAACACCTTGCTCCTTTAATTATATAAACTCACACTTAGAAGCTCAGTTTCATTTCTTTACTCTGACGAATTAAAAAAATGTTGAATACTGGAGACAGTGTATTTCAAGACCAAAATGCATTTTTGATGGTTGTGTTTTTGCGGTTTCAGAGTCACTATGCCAGCTCAGTCAAAAAATTCAATGGGAAGCAATTAAGTTTGGAATTGTCATTTTGTAATGCAGCTAAGGTTGAGTTTCATAGCAAAAATTACATTCAGTATTCAACATGAATATTGTTTACAGATAGTTCTACACTGACCTCTCAATAATGTGAATTTAGCCTCCTCCGCCGTCATCTCTCACTCTGTCTGGGGTAGTCTGGGAATGAATGTACAAAAGACAAAAAGGAATTCCAAAGGAATCCCACCAGAAAAAATATTGATATCAATACCAATGGATCTGTATGAAACACTGAAACATGGTCTCTGTCAATCACAGACTACCAGCCAATCACAGTGTCCATTGCTTCCATTCACATGACTGACAGCTCTGAAATCTAGTAAAAGTAAATCCAGGTTCCATGGCGACAAGACAAGGGCCGTCACAGTGAAGTCCTCTTGATCAACAATACTTTAAAATCAATGACATGGCCATGTTGAGATCTATTAACTTAGGAATAATTTTTACATAAATTAATACATCTCTAGCATGAAAAGGTGTGAGCTATCGTAGTTTACTTTTCTTGACTGTTACTCTTGATCCTGCACCATTCATCACTGGCAAGGGTTTCTTGTCAGTCTGTCTTTCTTTACTTGTGAAAGCTGATGAATGAAGTCTAAACCCATACAACTTAGGGACATAGTTTTCTGTGGTACGTGATGGTCTTTGCTCTGGGTATACCATGAACAACATGTGCGGCAATGAAGTACCAAAGTATGCACCATCAATGTAACAGTACTTTAACTGCCGAGGCTCGTAAACCTCACAACATTTTGGGCAATAAATCTTCACCATTCCTTCCCCGGGTTGATCTGATAACCCTATTGGAAGAACATTAGAATTTGAACATAATACCCTGGGACAATGTCCAAAGTCTCCTTTCTGGTACTTGTGAAGCATTTTCTTGCAACCTTTTTCTGATAGAATATAGCGTGCATGAATGAGTCCATAAAGATGTTCAGCTGTTTTGGCTACTGTTTTATCCAAAACTGACGATTGATAAGGTATTTTGCTCAACCTGACAAAATCTTCTCCTTGCGGTTTGTCAAGAATGAGATTGATTGCTTGCATAAAACATGTAACTTCTTCGTCAAGAGAGACGAGATTTGCTGGATCTTTCACGTAGTCTTTGTCGACTTCACAAAAAAAATCATTACCTAGTTTGGTGCAAAAGCGGTGAATCCAGTCACCAGTGCTACCATTAGCATTGCAGTACTCTCTTTCGCGAAATTGAACCATTTTATCTAAGCTAGTCTCCATTGTTCTGCATCACAGTCTTGTTGTCCTTCTATCGTCGAGTTGCATTCGTATGACAAACAATGTCACCCTCTGAAAACGTCTCACTCGTCAATTGTGCTTATAGTTAATTCAATTGACAGGAAATAGTAATGCAGTGACGTACTAGCCTAGCAATAAGACAAACGCCTACATCTATACCAGGCCACAAAGGAGAACCAGACTAGCACTGCATTATTGTCAAAGGAATTCTGACCTTTGTTCTTTACACCGAACACGGAGGTGTCTACGCAAGCTTTCTTCCTTCAAATTCGACGTACCATTCCTTGATGACTTGTCCTGACTCAAGTTGGACGAAGTTCCTCGTCGTTTTGGAACTGTAAACGTGAACTATTTTGTTTTCACACCCTCAACTCTACATGACATGAACGGCCATCTTTAACAGCTGGTAGAAATGACAGGGAAGCTCATTGTTCTCACCAAAAAACACGCTTTCTGGTCTAATGTGGCGCTCTATCACGCTTTATTGGCGAATTTTCACGGATTACGGCTAACGAAGTCCTTTTATTTGAAGATTAGTCTCCAAATTTGTATAATTCCCCTTTTTCCATTGATTTGCAATATGATAAAATTTTACAAATAAGCACAGGAAGCCCGGTCAACTGGCAATTAAGGATTCTTTCAAGCGCTCGCAGCCGTTCTTAGTGACTAAGAACGGCTGAGAGGAGACTATTTCTTGTGTTGTCGGGTTAATAATTATCAATGATCATAAATAATTTTATAATAATATAAATAATTTTTTTCTCTTTCGGTCTCTACAGTACATTTCCTTTTTTTCCCTTTATATATATGATATATATTTGTTTTACTTCTGTATTTATTTTTTGTGCGTTGTTATTCGGGAAGGTTTAAAGGTTTCTGCCTAATTTTTGGTTTCCATTTTTGCGGTTTATGGTTTTGAAGATATCCCTTGATTGCGGAAAATCTCCGAGTTTCAAATTTCAGTATAAAATATCGGATTCAGTAAGAAACTTTCCAGTAATGATTTATTAGTCAATTTCGACGGAAAAAAGAGGGAAAATCTGCGATTTTGCGGTATGACAACACCCAATAACGCGCCCCTTATTAAATAATAACAGAAGTACATAACCAGAAGTGTCCATCTCCCTATTAATATCGCCACCATCAGATGTCCCGATAATCTATTTTTAGACAACCAATCACAACGCGCGCACATATTACACGGHACCTGATTGGTCCTTGTTGATCTACTTCAAGAGCAGACGAGAAAAAGGACAATGTACTCGATGGAGGCGAACGAAGTGAAGCTTGCATTTGTGAGAATTTTACACCTTTTGCTGAACAACCATTTCTGAATTTGATAGAAAATATTCYTTACTACATGAGCAATGTAGCGAAAGTAGTTCAAGAGCAATATGGTCTGCGAAAACAGGGGAAAAGTTCAGACAATGATGAAAGATGCAGACAAAAGGCGTGCGAAGAAATACATTCGGCAAATAAAGTTGGACTTGGTTTAAAACAAAGTCAAAGGTTAAGTAGTTTTCGACTGTAAACCTTAGAGATTCGACCCTATAAATTTTCAGGTAGCTAGGAGGGTTTGTTTGGAAATTAATAGATATTTAATTTCTTTGACGACTTTTCTTGTTTGTGGCTTTTCATAACTTCATCTTCATCATAAACCGAAAATTCGACACGATTTCGTTCTTTTTATCTTTTGACCTATTCGCTTGTTTGTTTATTCTTCGCTTTTCTTTCAAAGAGCAATTATTCCAAACTCCTTAAGCGATGTTGAGTTCACAATATTCAATTTTAGTCAAATTAACATCGTTTTGCTAAAAGAGCTTTTGATTAACTTTTTGTGACATTT